AGCAGGAATGGCTCCTTGCGCTGTATTCCGAGGACACGGGGTTTCAATGATTTGCGTGACGTGAAGACTCCTACTACATGTGGAAAATCAGCGGTTGACCTGAAACATGCTTGTGTACGTTTTAGTCTCAAGCCGAGATAACTGCTTGCTCATGGAACACTTTTTATTTGAAAGACAGAGAAGCGAGGGGGCTTGGCAGAGAATTTCTAGAGAATGAGTGACATGAGGTTGTCAAATGAGGCAAACAACCAGCGGTATTCCATGCCAGTTTACTCAAACTTTCTAGTGGAAAGCAGGCTGTGAAAGTTACCTCCCAGTGCGAGCTCGACAACTTCCAGATAGGAAGCACTTTCCACATGGGATTGGTAGAGATATTAACATATTGATTTTTTTTCTCTTTTTTTTTTGCTATGAAGAAAATGTAGCACCATTTGGAAGCTTGGCATTGGTCAGTAACTAATATTTTCTAGTGACTAATGTTACAGAATTTTTTTGGGGTAGGAGATCCATCCAGTCAGTGTGTGAAGACAGACAAGCAGATTTAAATGTAACAAAGAAAAATTTCTATCTGTATTACAGGTGACCTTTGAGAAGCTGCCATTTGGTAGGTCTTTTTTTTTTTTTAATCAAAAAAGAATATTACAGTTATCCCAAAAGGCTGCTGCTTCTCCTACATATTTGTGAAGTTTATTTTTTCTTCAGATTCTTTATCATACTGCAACAAACTGAATGAGAAAGCAGATGTGAGAATCCAGATGTCTCCTATGAAGCAAAATGTTAAACAGCGACTTTCTCGTCTTCAGTGTGCTTTTTTAAAGTATAAAAGTAGTGTTTATAAACTCAGGTTGTTTTTGCTAACTTGTGATGGGTCTATTATTGTTACTTTAAACTACAAGTTTTCTCATTTTCGCCTATGGAGTGACAGATATCATTAGCTATAGCTTACAAAAATAAAACTCTTGGAGGGCCTCAATTTTTAGTGTTTTACACTCCTGAGATCAAAGATTGAGAACCACTAATCTAGATCTGTTCTTTTGGAACATAGTTCATCATCTTGTTTCCCTTCTCCTGTTCTACTCCTTCTGAGTCTCGGATGTATTTTTTTTTTAGCACTTATATGTGTAGTTAAGGTAGTGTTTTGTTTCTTCTACTCCCTAAGAACAGTACACCGTAACTAAGTCAGTGTTTGATTTCTAAGTTACATAATTCTGCTTTGGAAACAGCATTCTCCAGTCCTCGTCCTCTGGAGCCTCTGTCCATAGGTAGTGAGTTTTCCTGTGCACTGCTGAGTCGTAGTATTTCTTTCGTGGTGTGTGTAGTGACCGAGCACGGATGCAGGAGCCTGGGGTTATGACTGAAAAGTTTCTCTATGACTCTGTGCTGCTCATCTTCTGTTCCCCTATGAAGTGAGCATCATGGCTTTCCACCACGACTAATGCAGACTCATTTGAATGAAAAAAAAATTCAGATCTTTCCAAGTTTAGGTTAAATTCTACTACACTGTTACTAAACTTGTGCGTGTGTGCGTGCAAATAAATAAAATGCACTAAAATTTTCATGCAGTCATAAGACCAGAAAGAAATTATAAAACCATTGCAAATCCAAATGAGCACAATAAGAAATAGGACGTCTTGCTGAGTCTACATCTTTGGCAGCATGAACACAGACCTGTGCTGGGGTCTGTTCTTGTTCAAAAATGGTATTTCATCAACACATGCTAATTGTACATATGTACGGGGTATGATATTACCCTGTATAGATAATCTGTAATGCGACACTGTGCCAGCAGCATGTAGTTAATCAATCCATTGTGTCAAACATTCACCATTTCTTTGGGTTGGGAATATTCAAAATCCTTTCTTGTAGCTATTTTGAAGTATATAATTATTGTTCACTGTAGCCGCCCTACTGTTCTGTAAAGTACTAGAACTTTCTCTTCTTACCTAGTTGTGTTTTGTATCTATTCACCCACCTGTCTGTGATCTCCTCTCCCCTTTCCTCTCCCAGTCTGTGGTACTCTGTCCTCCATTTCCTCCTTCCTTACTCCGCTGCTTCTACCTGTGGGCTTCACACTCACTGTCTCTCGGTGCTTGGCTGATTTCACCTAACCCACTGGGATCCTTTGATATGTCTCTCCCTGTTGAGCTTGTGTGCACTAAGACGACCCCATTGTCCTAGTCTATCAAGCTGGAAGCAAACCTGGACCTCGGCCTCACCTCGATGTCGTGTGTTAGATGAACATGCAACATTGACCTCTCTCATCCTGTTTCATTATTCTCTGATCAGCCTTGTAATCAGCTCTGGGACTCCTTGATTTTTACAGTGAACACAGATGTAAAAGTGAGTCCTGAAATTGCATGGGCCTACTCAGTTCCCAGGGCAGTACACGGAAAAGACCCAAGTAGGCTTTGTTTGCACCACAGTGAAAACGTGGTTTAGTGGCAAAGCACCCACAGGAAGGGTTGCATAAGCAAATGTTCCCCCAGTCTGCTCCCTGTATAGCTCATGTTTCAGCAGCAGTGATGCTGAGCATGGAGAGCTGCTGTACCCATGGCTGCTCTGGCTCTGACCCACTGCTGCCCCAGAGCCCCGAGTTATAGTGAGGGCTACAGAGATCAGATGTGAACTGTGGCTCTTTTGGACTAACAGACGAACAGCATTGATGGCTGGCAAATGATGATGGTCTGATCCAGATCATATAATGCAGTGTGTTCCCTAAGGAAGTTTACATACGCAAGTGGAAGAATGGTTTTGTTGTGGCCAGAGAAAACCAGTGAATCATACAATCCCTGAATTTTGGGGTTGGAATATACTTCTGAGTGGCTATTTTATTCTACTTTTTTTCCTTTTAATCTTTTTTATTTCTTTTCATGGTCCTGGAGATGGAACCCAGGGCCTTATACATCCTTAGCGAGTACTCTGCCACTGAGCAGCAACCCAGGCCTTTTGTTTTTTAATTTTTAAATTTTGAAACAAAGTCTCACTGAGTTGCCTGGGATGGGCTGGAACATGGGAGCTGCCTGCTTCAGCCTCCAGCTGTACCATTTTTTAGACCTTCTCAAGTGAGATAACAATGCTTCTTTGAGATTTAATCACCAGCGGTGGAGGGAAAGGAGGAGGTGAGTTGGAGATTGATGTACAGAGTTGCTTAACAACTGGATAATTAACAACTCTGTCACTGGAAGATAAGGGAATGAGGGAGGTTGAAATCACATTATTGTGTCCTCAGATTGCAGTCCTTCCCCTTCCCCATTTGGTTACTTTTCTTGTGTTTTTCATTTGATGGTTTGGGAATAATTTGGGGGAGTAATGAGCTTTCCTTATAATACTACACTGCACTATGAAAACACAGTTTTAGGTGCATATTATTGTGAACTTACTCTGAGAACAACTGTATAGTTCTTAACTGATGCATTTATTTTTGGCACAAATTCTAAGCAGTGATGACTATCATGGGTATTTATACACATTTAAAACCCAGAAATTATCCCCTGTAATTTTCATGTATATGTGCTTCCAGAAAATTAAGATGACTACCAACAATATTACATTGGATTCTGGACCTCCTCGCCACCCCCAGTGTCACTTGGGCTATATTATTGCTTATCAAGTCCCAGGAAGGTACAAGTGAATGTTCAGTGCAGAATTACTGTGGTCTACAGGCGTCTGCTTTTTCTGACCGCTTCTGAGACTGGAGATAATTGGGGTTTGGCAGTGGTTCTGATGTCACCTTCAAATACAGCCTTTCACATCCCCGATGACCTTTGTGTTACTGCTGACTAGTGAATAAGATGAGTTTACCACTTCTTAATTAAAATTTTTGCTAGAGTTTTAAAAATAGATAGTTAACTTATATTTTGAGTTTTTAAAACAGATTGCACATAAAAACCTGTGTCTTATGTTCATCATGCTTTTGAGTGATTTCATTTGGTTGAGGCGACTATTGAGGTTCTGATTCTGTCTCAGACTCTACACTTGCTCTTCTCTCTGCTTTTCCTAGTTTGTTTCTTCTCTGCTACAATAGTGATCCTATCTGCCAAGTTGTTCTCAGCATTGCTAATACAAATGTTCGCCTGAGTAGGATACTGATTTTTGTTAAAGCGCTTTTAAGTAACCTGTTCTTCTATGTGAATGAAATTGCTAGAATATTCTTTCATGTAACTGTGTATGAGTATTTATGAAAAAACTGACTGTGTACTAGGACACTACTTTTAAAGTTATCTTATAGATAGGAAGTATGCTTATTTTACACTTTCTGATAAAATTCTATTGAAGAAAAAAACATTTAGTTCAAAAAATTCATTACTGGTGTAGCCAAACATTGTCTAGATTCTGTATCTTTAATTTAGTAGATGTAAAACTAAATGTGAGATGAAAGTTTTGCTTAGTTGCTTAGATTTGTTACTGATTTTTTTTTTAATAATACAGAGTTTATTTAGAAATACTGGGGTAGTAGGAACAATAACTGTGGTTGCTACGCCTGCACATTGAATGAACTCTGGGCGCTAAACACTGTGAGCTTATTAAGGGCTCACGATACTTTCATGAAAGAGAATTTGTTTTATTATCATTCTAGTGGGGAACAGAAACCCGAGGACAGCTGGACACCTGCCTAGTGCCACACAGTTCATAAGAAGAGCTGCTCGAGTACAACAGTCTCCTCCAGAGATTACCCCTGGCCTTTGCCATACATGTTTAAAGGAACCAAAGAGGGCTGGGTGTGGCGACCCATCTCTGGGAATCCCAGCATTCCAGAGGCTGAGCTAGGAGAATCACCAAGGGTTTGAGGCCAGCTATGCTACATAGGAAGACCCTGTCTTAAAAATAAAGCACCAGCAGTAAAGGAACCAGAGGAATGTGTGTTCAGCTTACTGACCTGTGGTCCCTTGTCAAACTGTTACTCTAGTCTTTAATCTTGGGACTTCATTGCATCTGTCCTGATGTGTCCTGTTCAGACATTAGTGTGCAGGTTTGAAACGCTGTGATTTTTGTATTTGTAGACATGCCTCTTCATGTCCGAAGAAGCAGTGACCCAGCGTTAATTGGCCTCCCAACATCCGTCAGTGACAATGACTTCTCTGAAGAACCGTCCAGGAAAAACCCCACTCGCTGGTCCACCACAGCTGGCTTCCTCAAGCAGAACACTGCCGGCAGTCCCCAAACCTCTGATCGGAAGGTAACCACCTCCTGTCCCTCGGGCACTGAGGGTGTGGGCGGGCGCTGAGGGCACTGGTCCCTGTCGGGTAGAGCATTTATGTCCCTGGCAGCTGCACTGTGCCCTTTGCATGGGCACTGTTGACTTTCTCATCAAGGTTCAGACAACTTCTTTTACGTCTTGCCTGAGTTTCCTGGTAAAATTCAGTGCGAGGTATGGCCAACACTTAGTTATGTGTCTAGTTTAAGTTGATGATATAGTCTTGTGCTTAAAGAAGGGAGACTTTCAACATGAAATGTACTCTTCCGACTCCTAAGCACCCCATTTTTCTTCATAGGCAATGTCTTCATTTGCTTTTAGTGTGTCCTTACAGGGAAGATTTACATATGTTCAGGGTATGATAGAAAAAACTTTGATTAGGATAAAGGACAGATTTTTACGAATCCCACTCAGAATATTCCCCTTCTGGTTTGAAAACGATGCATCGTTCTTGCCACTTTCTGAAGGAGACGTGGCATCCGTTTTTGTGGCTGTCTTCAGTTATGCTGCCCTGGCTGCCTTGATGTCCAAATTCATTACAGACGTTTACCTTTGCCTGTCATTTTGACTTTGGAAAAGAGCTGGAAATCACATGGCGCCAGATCTGGTGACTCCAGTGGAGGAGGACACTGTGCTGTGAATGGCACTCAGCAGCAGTGTTCACTGTGGCTTTAATCACACCCTTAAAGACACAGTGGAGAGCTTCTGGGCCTGCTGTGGAACATGGCACCGACGCTGACTTCGGTGTGTTCCGAGTGAGCGGAAGTTGCAGAAGGGATTTTGTCTTTTACTGTAATATGGTTTTTAAGTTTAAACATACATTGTATGTTTTGATCACACCATGTTTCAGGGTGCTTGCTCATGAGATAGGCTTTAAGGATGAAAGTGGATCCCATGATCCAGTTGTTCTGATGCTCAGTGGATGATGGGCCCCCTCAGTTTCCTTCAAAATGGGAGTGTGCTGTCCATCTCAACACTGTTAGCTCCCTTGACCCAATTTATGTAGACCAAATAAATTAACCTCATGTGGCCTGATTTTTAAAAACTTCATGTTTTTTATTTTGTTTTTGATGGTTTGTGTCTTTAGATCAGCGTCTTGTTTTATATATATATATAAAGGTTCAGACAACTTCCTATAGTGCGGGCTGGTCTTGACCTCACTATGTAACCTAGGTTGACCTTGAACTCACTGCAGTCCCCATGCCTCAGCCTCCCAAGGGCTGTCTTCAAAGACTCGTTTGAGAATGCTCTTTGTTGTCTATCCCAACAGAGTCCCTAGTCCCCCATCCCATCATAGCTCTGGCTTTTAAGCTGTTTTTGCCATTTTCACTGCTGAATCTGCTGAACAGATGCTCAGTAAATATCCATTAAATAAGGTGACAAACATTTTTCAGCATAGCCAGTAATTTAGCCCAGTGTATAAAGAGAAATGTAGAAATAATACCAACCACATTAATACCAAAATGGGTGTATGTTGAGATTTACCTGATTTATCCGTTTTATCTGTGCAAAATGTCTGTGAACTGTTTCTTTTACTTTCATTTTGCATTTCAACAAACTGTGCTTTGTATTAGTTTAAGCAAAAAAAAAAAAAAAAGTACACAGCATAGAGTTTAAACTGAGAAGAATCTGCTGGCATAAATGGAATGTACTTTTTAAATTTCTGATTTTTTTTCTTTTGAATTAGGGACTGAAGTTTTAGAAGCCTCAATCTCTAGAAGTGTTTTGTGATTATGTAAGGAATCCCGTTGGATTTTTCTCTTATTAAGACCTGCTTGGAATTTTAGAAGAGTTAATCATGCAGTAGAACACCCAAAGGAAATCTATTTATAACTAGTCCTCATGACCTTTAATTTTTGTTCAAATGGAACCAGTTTTTGCTTTTCACAAAAGTCTAAATAAGTCAAGTTTGCAGTTTTAAAATGTTATTTTTTAATTAACATTTCATAAAGTTGAGAGGTTTCATAAAGTTGGAGAATACCAAGTCAGAAGGTGTTAAGGTAGTCAGGGTTTATTTTTAACTCTCCCAGGAGCTTGGCTATGTGAATCACTTTCATTTTACAGCAAACACACCCATGATAACATAAATTATATATAATAATTATAAATATTATCTCACAAAATCACTGGAAGTACATACAGTGCCCCAGAGAGCCAAAGAACTTTGGGCCCTGTGCACATCTGGCCAGGACACTGTGACCTCCCTTTGATTCTGAAATGCAGGCTTCAGTTTAGTTCCTGACTCTGGCCTTCTGGGGTCCAGAGACCCAGCACTTCCGGTCTCTGCAGCAGAGGGAGGCAGAATGCTCATTGGCCCCTCCTGGTGCCCACCTTAGTGGACTAGCTTTACATTACCTGTGTCTGCCACTGAGAAACATTGGGGAAACTAGGGAAGAACAGAATAAAATCATCCATGACTCCAAAACCCAGAAACAACTCATACTAAAGTGTTTGCACACACATATACACCATTGGGATCAGGCTACATCTATGTGTTTGATCTAATTATTTTTACATTTTTTCATATCAAAGAGATTTATGCATTTGTGAACTTAATCAGAAAATATTTCACTGGAGTGTAAACTGCTTCATTGTAGGGTATACTCTTGATTGATTTATCATTCTCCCATTGGTATAGATTTATACTACTGTTCATTCACACTATAAATATCATTGTTGTGGGCATCATTGAATATCGTATTTGCCCCAGAAATTGCTATGTGTTCAACAAGACTTTTCCCTATTTAAAGTGATGTTTCATGTAAACAAGTAGCCACACTTTCCCGCAGAAAGACCTTGGTCTATGTAGATCTCTAGATAAAATGATATTCACTTCTAGTACAGATAAAGGACAGACAATATGTAAAGAGTTAGTTTTGAGTTTCCTTTTGCTTAAGTTTTCAAATACTGATTTACTAATATTAACATTTTATGCCATTCATATTTAGTGTGAGGGTTATATGTATATACATATTGAATTATGTATTATATATACATATAATTCATTTCTGCATTATATATACATACACATAATTCACTTCTGCATTATTCTTCCATCTTTTTAGTATTCAAAAAGGAGGTTTAGTGGAAAACTTATTTGCTAGGTAGGCATGAACCATGAATTACATTCTTTCTGTTGAGTTGAGGAAAGCTTAGCTATGCTGGTTAATTTAAATTGTTACCAGTTCTTCCCAATTCACAGTGGTTTAAATTTTCCGTATGGAAAGATTGCTGCACACGTTCATTGTCGTGGGAGCCACTGATCCTTAGTGGTCAAGGTGGAGGTCTTGCGTGACTGTCTGCATAGCGGCTTGGACTGTTCATCCTGGTTGTCTGGACTCTATAGTGTCCACCTCTGCCCTGTGGTGCCCCAGCACAGATGAGCATGTTAACACGGTGACAGCACCTCCTTCCCTGTGAGGCAAAGGGGGCTATAAACAGACCGTAATGACGCCAAGCCAACCTGGAGGTTGGAGAGGCCCAGTGCGCTATGGGCTTCTGGTTCCTTGAAACGTCTTGTCTCCTGCTAAGTCACAGACCTTCCTTTCTTCAACATAATGAAACATAGGTAGATTTTGCATAGCAACTGTATGGTGACAAGTTTCCAAGAGAAATTCTTACCTGATTAGGGAAAGCGATAGTGAAAATAGGTTAGCACCATTCATTTTGGCTTCTTCTCTTTTTTTTTTTTTTTGTCTTTTTCCTTTTTATCGGTACCGGGGATCGAACTCAACGACTGCCTGCTTGCAAGGCAGGCGCTTATGCCGTTGAGCTAAATCCCCAGCCCCGGCTTCTTCTCTTTTTAAAAAGTTTCTTAAGAAAGACCTTCGAAGCTGGGTGTGGTGGCACACACCTGCAATCCCAGCACATGGGAGGCTGATGCAGGGGGTTTGCTTTGCATCCTGAGCTCTACAGTGAAGCTTTGTCTCAAAAAGGACATCCCTCCAAAAAAGGGAAGACCTTGGAATGTTTTTTAGCTCTTGAGTTTATTATTTGTGGTTTTGTTGTTTTTGTTGTTGTTGTTACCGGGGATTGAACTTGTGACCTCACACTTGCCAGGGAGGTGCTTATGCCACTGAGCTAAATCCCCGATTTTATTATGTGTTTGATTTAGTTGCTTGGCATGTTTTATATCTCTCCAATACCCCTGATACATGCATCCTCTTGGAAAAGATGCTTTTTAATTATGTCTCTGTCATGTCACTTTCCTTTCTGTCATAAATGTGAGGTCCCCCTCCCCGTTTTCATTTGTTATTGGTAAATGTTTGCAGCCCATCGTGATTCCATTCCTTGGGGGGGAGTTGGTATGTGTACATAACACATCCGTGTCTTTTTTCATCCCTTTCCCCTCCTTCCTTTGTCTCTTGGTTTCCTTCCCTTTTGAAAAACTCAGGTGTTTTTTGTCTTCTCATTTTGTTTTGTGTTTTGCAGTGCTGGAGACTGAAGACACAGGTTGGTGCCCATCGCATTGTGCTCTCCCTTCAGCCTAGAACATTTTTATAAACATTTTTTGCAGCGTATTTTAAGGTGCTCCATATTTTCTCCCCCTCCTACTCCTGGTGCCACTACTTGTGCTTTTCTTTTGCCAAGTAATGAAAGATATAAGGAAGCAGGTAATTCTTTGAAATCCCAAAGAGGAATGATCCTGATATCTCATGCATGAACCTCAGGACTTGTCTGAAACATATAGATGCTGGCTGCCCCGACTGCCAGAGGGTAACCATCCAGCAGTGTTGTTTACTTTCCAGAAAATTTTTCTAGTTTCTAGTGCTTTAACAAAATTTTCTTATGTCTCATAAATATTTATAGCTGGGATTACTGTTCTGTCCTATGCTGAGATTTTTTTTATTAATATATACTTGGTGTTTATTTTGTGGGTTTCTGTTGTTTGACATTTATATTTTGGCCTATTTTGTTTGCTCTTGTGAGTAACCTTTAGAAGGTATCCTTTGGAGAATATTCTTATATGTCAATTTCTGTTG